TTGGTCAGTATTCCCATGCGGCAACTTGAGTATGTGAAGCGATGCCCGAGGTCCGACTGGTGTTCTGCTGTCAGACCATCCAAGATGGCATTCGTGTCAGCATTCTCGATTAATAAGCCCAAACCCGAAAGAAGTAGAGCACCTAAGTAGTTTATGTGTATGCAGTTTCAGGCTTCTATACTCAGTTGCTCTGTGCCACGGTGATTGCATGGGACGTGAAGTATACGTTCACGAGGTACTGTCAGTAATGTCAGAATGAACCGCGGCAAAGGCCATGAAATTCCTCGGTAATACTTGATAGCTTGGAATATAATTCGACTAGAGTTTTAAAAGCGGTCGTACTAAGCAATGAATTTCTACAAATCGAATGACTGTCTTCGGCTAACAAACTTGGATTTAGAGTTCCACCAATGATTGGGGGCGAGATGACCCAGTTGCTAGAGCGCGAATTTACCAACCGGAAGGTTCGTAGTTCCAACCCGATCCCCGCCTCTCGAATTCCCCTGTCTAGACTTAGTTAACCTGGCATTATCCCACCCCTCGATGGTAGACCACTGATTATGACACGCATTGCTGCTTAGTGGAAGTCGTCCCAAATAAGTACAATGAGAAACTCGATCAAAACTTATCAGTTTCATTCCTTACGATGTTGATTAGGTAGGTGAAATAGGACGAGAAAACCACATTGGTAAGTAGTGTCGATCGAGCTCTCATCTCACAGATAAGTTGATAAGGAAAGTTTAGAATAGGCACTCATTGGCAAATTAAGCCAGTCATAATGGGAGACTCAACCGAATCCCAGCTGGATCTCTCAACTGAATTCGTTGCACAAAGCCGTCCGTCTCGTTGGTGAGTTGATGTGGTACTCCAGATAGAACAGCAAGCATGTTTTCTCTATTGCAAAACCAGATGTTTTTAACAACCTAATAGGTAGAGTGTTTCATCTAGAAAGTATGAAAGAAGAAATGACACAAGCCACACAATGGGAAAGAGGAATTGCTGTGTGTAGCCAGTCAATTCAGAACTGTTAATATAAAACTCAATTTCTTGCCATGTAGGTGGTTGCTAACGAAAAGCGCAGGTCAACTAGTGAACCAATAACATGCAACCTGTAGACACTGCTGGAAACCTGGTTGGCTGTTAGTATAAAACTCTCAATTTCTTGCCATGTAGAAGGTGGCTGCGAACGAAAAGCGCAGGTCAACTAGTGAAGCGACAACATGTAACCTGTAGACACTGCTGGAAACCTGGTTGCGAGGTCAAGGTTCGCTTGCGAACAGAGCGCGGAGTAATGTGAACCGGATTCGAACTGGCTGTATAAGGAGGGCAGGGTGGTGAGTTATTCATTGCCAACGTCAAAAACTGTTCGTCTCAAGTAGTTAAACTTACTTAGAGCTGAAAAGGTGTTACTGGTGGCAATTTAGACGCGATGATCGTTACAATTGGTGTAACACACTACTCATAAGGTCGCTGAAAACACTTTGACAGTCCACAAACGGTTTCGCCCTTCTTGGGACTAGTCAGGTAGGCACATTTCCCGGGTTGCCGTAAACTTTATGCTTTACTTAAGCCCAAATTCAACGAAATTTAAATCATAAACTCATCCGCGTAACAGTTTGCTTAAGAATGTCGTAAATGAGAAATTCAGCTGGGTATCAGGTGAGCCTCTCTTAATTCAAACTATACTGGATACCTCACTGAGAAAAAGAATAGTAGCTCTGCGTGAAATTAGGTGTATTCTTTTAACGCTTGATCCACGAGTTCAACAAACAGACGGTAGTTGCCAAGCTAGGTTTCCCCCAAAATTGGTTTGTACTTTCCTGTTACGCCGTCATCTATGAAGAGCTGACATTTTCATATGGTGCTCGGGTGAGTGCGCACCGATGTCTGCGAATCTAGATTGAAGATATTGCTTACTCTGAATCCACATCAACAAAATGAAAAAGAATTTCACTCGCTTGGTGAAATAAGGAATGCTGCTGACCTATTTGCTCAGCGCGCGCACACACACACACACAGTGCACAACAGCTACTGTCCCAAAACAAACTAGCGCTCTTCACATCACAGGTAGATTCGAACAAGTTATTATCCTCTGTGAGTGGAATGTAACCATTCCATGGAAAACCACCACGATTCAACTCACGTTGTCACCACCTGTCGCCGCCAGTTCGTGTCTCAAAGCCTGTTGGGGAGTAAATAGGTTGGTGTACAGGGTACTCACCCCTCTTGTCATGTGTCTCGGGAGTGAAAGAAATCAGCTGAGCCGTGCAATTCGTTTGACACATATGACCCGACTGTTTGAAATTTAAGCATGTGATGGCGTGTACACCAACCGTTGACACTTGATAGATCATTATTTGCGAATAGTTGGAATTCCTCGGTGTAAAAACTTGTCGGTAAGCTTGTGACCTTAGAAATAAGGCGAAAGTGCACAGCTTCTCAGCACGGTTCTCAGCAGAGGTTGTATCAGAGTGATTGCAATGATGTATGCCCCAGGAAAGCTGATCAGATGGAAGGAGAATCAGTCAGTGTCCGAAATGGGTAAGGTATCTACACCAATGAAGTGCTCGTTCTTAGGAGTTGGAAGGCGAGCCACGTGGGTGAGCACCCCTGGAAGGTTTGACTTCACAGAATTAATCCGAGTGACAAAATCCAGGCTTTTGACATGAATCTCCACTAATTTCATACTCAAAGGTTTTTCTTATAAAGACGCTCAAATAGAGGATTTCCAAGGAAAAATAAGAGCACTCGTCTGATATTTGGCTTAATTCTGACCATAGGTCTTGAACCACTGAGGTGCTTACTGAATTACGTACAACGTTTTTGCCAGATCTCCAACCCATTACTGGACATACTGCTTGAGATCACTCCACTGCTGGTTTACTGCCATATCGAATCAAGCATAGTTTTAAATTGCGTTCCTTTTTGTATCGATCGCTTTAACCTATGTTACTGGCACCTTCCCAATTTACCGATCATGGTGCACCAGTCAAAAATGGCAAACGGAAACAGAGTATACGGAACAGAATCACACAGAGAATACCGCGGCACCGCGGTACACTTTCTTGATTCTCTAATCTTGGCTGTCTGTCCACCATGGTGTTGGGCCAACGGGTCTAGAGCCAGTCTCACTGAACTACACTGCTGGACAACTAACTCTCTTTGAACACCGTTGAAATATCCAGTCCAACAGCTCGCCTGTCAGTTTAGAGCACCAGTCAGGGCGGCGAAATTTGAAAGCTGAGATGATAGGCATATATTAGGCAGGAATCGATAAAATCAATAGAAGACAGAGCTGGTGTGCATTCGAAAATGTGGAGATGAGGAGCAAGGGTAGTATGACACCATAGTCAACAGATAAATGGTTGTGTAGAAGCTGACCTGAAAGACATAGAAAAGGTAACGGTAGATTTTAAGAAAACACTTGATCAGAAGGTTCAAAATCGTAGCTCATCTTTTGAGCTGGCCAAAGCTGCCATTTTTCAAAGACCCTCTCATAGAGCTCATGGAATTACAAGGAATACAATATCACGTTTTCTTAGAATAATAACTATACCTTGCTCGACACATTGCTGTAATCTTCCAGAAGAAAGACTTTCCGATTTCGCCTCATGGAGGACACTCTTTTCAGTAACGAAATTTGTGAAAAAATTTCACAATCCCCAGAATTATTCCACACTGGTTTGGTCTGCTTGTCTAAATATGGGGCAAACCAATGTGAACTTCTGCAATTTTTAGCACAGTTCAAAACAGAATGGCTCGAATCCCTTCATCTGTGTGGTTCTGCTTGTCTTGATCTCGCTCTTTATCGTACCAGTATCCATATCTTGATTCAAGCCAAAAGTCATCCCAGTACACGTGATGTCGCATTCTAAAATCGATATTGATTCGTGACGAGCAGCCGTACTACCATGCACGTTCATGAAAATCACTCAAAGCCCGTCTGTTTTCAAGAAATCAGCTTTCCATGTGCTTCACTAGTTTCAAGGATACATGGTCCACATTTTGTAGCTCAAGCTTTGCTCACCTCTTCTTGATCTGTGTCTACTTTGAGTAGAATTTGGCCGTCCACTGGTAAAAATATACCTTGAGTTGTATCAAGTCCTCAAACAGTGGATCTTCGGTGAACTCGTAGAATAACAGAACAGTACACAGTCGGAGTCGATGGCAGCACGGAACAAAAAACTTCTACTGCCCAAATATGAGCTTTACAGTGCGTTAAGTACTGATAACAGTAATATAATATTGATATTACTGATAAATACTATTAGTGTTCTGCGAGACTTAAAAGGAAAAATCCACAAAAGAAAGTTGGAAAAATTTAACCAACCAACGGAAAGGATCAACCTGCAATCAGCCTTACCGCAATGGCGACAAAAAATAAGCCATCATCGGCAATAAATTTTCAGACTTCCCTTTAACAGATTAGCAAGATCGAATGTTTTTCTGACCTTTCTGATTCGCTGGCTTGGTAACACACTAAATTCGCCCGGATTTTGCACGTCTGTCTACAAAAAAGTGGAAGTCAGATGTGCTCAATTGAAAACTAGAGTAGCGAATCTTGACAGTGCCCTGATGCTTGATGCAACTAGTTTCTGCAGTCAACCGGATTTTTTTAGGTTTACGCGACAGTATCAGAACATGGGCTAGATCACCACAATGTCTGTGGAGTGGAGTTTGTTTATATGGCGCCAGTTGTGACTACTCTCTCAGTCGGTGAGTATTGATCCCCTCGTCTTTCAAACTATGTCAGAGTTCCGCATGTTAAGGGGGGTGGATATGGTGTAAACTGATACGTGTGCAGCCACAATGCCACACCCATTTGTAATGAAAGCCACCATCCATGTGCCAATCAACCGAGAAGAAAAGAGGATATCCAGAAGCAACTCTGTTTACCAATTCACAGAAGGATAGATGCAAGAAATAAAAACTAACTAATCTGTAAATATCTATAAAAAAACGACCCGTAATTATGGGGTGGTTTTTTTGAATTCACGCCGAACCAAGTAGTGATGTTTTGTTTCGCCCCTTTTGTTTTGGCAAGAGTGACTTCCTCTCTGGAACTGGATAGTCATTACCCAAATCTTGGGTAACGGACGTCTGGAAGCAAAACCATCTTTTTTAGCCATTGGATAAATCTTGATGGCGGCGCGGTCGTCCAGACCGCGAACAGGGTCCATCCGCCAAAGTTGTCTGCGTCCTTACTACGGCACAGAACGAGGACCGCTCTCATTGTTGAATCAGAGTATCAACAACCACTTTCCGACCGTCTTCTAAGTTAATTAAAACTATGGCAATCTATCAGCAACACGAGTGCATACAAGCATTATTACATGCGTTGGACTCAACCAAGCATGGGATTGGTTAATTCTGGACTCGGGCGCTAATGGCAGGCGTTCAAATAAAAAAGCTTTGAGTAAAAGCAATGTACAACAATAAAGGAAACTACTCAGAAGGTTGTTGAAAACTCTTCGACAGCCCACGACCGGTTTCACCCTTATAGTTCGGGCTCATCAGGTAGGCGCAGTCCCCGAGTTTCCGTCAACCCTATGTTCTACTTGAACCCAAATTGGACTGCTCTCGAGAAATACACTCATTTGCAAGTCAGTTTGGTTTTCACGAGAGACTCAACTGAAT